AATTAAATTTTAAATTTTTTTAAAGGAATGTACTAACATCTTTTAAATATTAAAAAATATTATAAATTCCAGTAACCTTAATAAAAATTTTAGGGACAATGAGCAGGCCTCAGTTCACTAAAAGGTCTGGCGCATGCATGTTCAAGACGTGTCCATGTGACGTCCCGTCCACATCTTCATCACTAATAAAAAGTATTAAGCAAACGAGGTTCTAGGACTTCCAGGAATATCTCTGCTTCATTGCCTTAAAATGATGAGAGTGGTCAATTAATTAGTTGGGTTCATTGGGTTGAATTGAATTTGGCAAGACTACTTTTCCTCCACTTTTCTTGACCTGCAATCCCTCACACGGACCACAAACTAGTGTCCCTGATGTCTATTTGATCGATACCCAACCATAGAAAAATAAGTGACCAGCACGCATTTCCCACGTGGCTGCAATGATAGCCACGCTACTCCAAAATAATAACCAGGTAGAATGCATTTTGATCCATAGGTCGAGTTCTAAACTCGACTTTCCTCAAATAGATACTAGCCTAACAATGTATTTCTTCTTGTCATAAAAAAAAAAAAAACAAAAAGAAAAAGTGACCAGCACGTCTCACAATGAAGGCATGTGGACATGTCGATTCCGAACTATGAATCATTTTGCTTTCGTATTAGTAATTTCCATTGATCAGAACTTTCTTTTAATTGTCATATTTGTATGTCATGTAAGAACATTATCAAAAGTCGCGTGCAAAATACTCAAATGACGAGACACACAGGAACTGAAGGAGTACATGTTAACACGTTTCCAACATGTTTTCCAGTACGCTAATGAGTGGTTCATCTATACTCAACAAGCCTTTTCTGCACTAGTAATTTCCTTTGTCCAGATTCATGAGCACGAGAAATGAAAAGATGTGAATGGGTGAAAAACCAGCAATGAAGCTAGAATCAACTCAACATGGTTTAAAGCCTTTTAACATAAAGCTTCTCTCACAATCAAAATTCTTCCAACCTCTAATGCACTACCATGTATATAAGTAATTATTTATGGCCATTGAAAAAAGCATAACAGCTTGGAGGAAGGGAACACGGTATTAATGAACATCATGCACCTAAGCTGAATTGTTACTTCACCAGTTAGAAAATGTACTCAAAAAAGGGGGACCACCTTGCCTGTGGACTGTAGGGAAATCATCTCTCAGTATACCCGGTTACCGATAGTTTGATACAGTGTCCTAAGTTGTGTATTCCATTTATCAATAGCAGTGTACTTCTTCATCCCCTTTGACCTGCATAAGCATGATAGTTGCAGTTAGATATACATCCAGCTGACATTAATTCAAAATCAGCTACTGAGCCACCATCAAGTGATAAGCAAGAAGAAAAGGCATTGACCTGTCACCACGCTCCAATAGCCTGTTCACTTGATCAATGTGTCCATCAATACGGTTATCCAGAATTAGTGAAACCAACAATTGCTCAACATCTTTCTCAGGCACATTGAGTTCCTGAAAGTTAACAAGATTCAATAAGTTCAGTAACAGTGTCAGAGAAACTAGTATAAATACACATGGTGTAATTGGATGTCACAAGAGGAGAGTAAAAGAAAGATAGAAGCCCACACCATGACAATAGAGGACAAAAAATAGAACAACAGCTTTGAGCATTTAGTATAATTTAGACACTAAGTGTTCACCTTTGATATGAATGGGATCCGGATTCTTGTGTAAGGCTTGATCAGTTTAAGCAGGACCTGGGTTCTGATATTCTTCAACAGATCTTCAATATAATTTCGAATGAAAGGATCATCCATTATTGTGCGCCTATTGCTCTGGAAAAAGCTGCCAACTTAAATGAAAGAAAACAACAGAAAAAAGGGTGTCCAGGTGGTAGGTGGGTGGGTGGGGAAAGGACAGGACAAACTGATACATAAGCAGTAAATAATTGTAAGAAGCTTCACATATACCTTAAGGATTTTCTCAAACTCTATTATCTCATTGCGTTGATAGGCTGCTATAAGATTTGTCATTGCCAAAATCTCAGGATCATTTTTGTATCTGCAGAAACAGAAATCAGAATAAGAAAAAGCCAAAGAGAGGTAAAACTTTCAAAGATCATGATCTAGTACCATAGGACACTTACGGCTTTGCCTCTTGGCCATCAAAGGGATTAACTTCAGATTCCATCAGCATATTGGCCAGAACAAGGTACCTGGAAGTGAGCCAAAGAAGATTAACCATCCTGATCATTTTTGTTTAAATAATAAAAACAACAAACTGGAGGAAAAAGTAACTATACTTCAGGCATTGAATACGCCTCTGATTTCCAGCTTCATCATAGTTCTTAAATGCTTCAAAGAAATCTGTTGCTGCCTCTGCCCACTGACGTTCTGCCATATGCATCTTCCCTCCACACTCACGGATGATTCCCATGATCCTTGGATGAGGTATTGCTGACTTGATAGCTAGTGCTTTTTGGTACAATTGCTGCATTGTAAACCAATATCTCAGACACAACTGAACAACAATGCTAAAAGGAACGACAAGGAAAGGAATAACTAACTGCCACCATATAATCAACTAACAAAGTTAATATCATTTTAAATTATCATCAACTAAATCATCATAAAAACTAGCAAATATGTTAAATACAGGTCAGCTATCTTGTCAAATTTGTTACTTAGTCATGAAAAAACATGAAAACCGTAGGTGGCCAAGCCTCTATTCAAAATGGACCATGGTAGGGAGTGGTTAGGGCATTCAAACACAGAATAATACCAGATAATCTTTACCTTGAGCTTTTTGTTGTTCTTCGTCTCAGTATACATTTGAATTTCAATGGCATAAACCTCCAGCAGCTGGCTTCCTTTCTTTTGATCATCAGAACCATCTTCTTTTTGACAGGATTTATGGAGTTCCTTCAAAATCTGATTGAATACCACATATTAGTCAAATGAATTGGAGTTGAGAAGATATGGTATTAAAGGGCTGATAAAAACTATACCTTATTCATCCGTCCATATTCTCCCATATCAAACCAAATATTGCAAAGCTTAAGATTTGTCTTAAACCAAAGTCTCTGCAAAGCAGAAATGAATTTATCACATCTAGGCAGAAACATCAATGGGAATATGGTAAATGTGGATAATTTTCCAACCTCATTCTTAGCCTCTTCAAGGGCCTTCAAAGTGGTCTGATAAAATTCTTGCAGAAGACCAAAATTTTGACTAGCTGAGCCAGACACAAAATCCATAATACTGTTTATACATTTTTCACTGTAATTCCTTGTCACTGCTGATTTGATGTATGTTAGCATCTCCCTGTATGCATCCATCATCTCTTTATACTTCCCCAAACGGTAATAGAGTTTCACAGTTTGTTTTAGAGCTTTGAATCCCCTAGCAGAGAAGGAAAGTGTAAGATAAGTTAACCTTAAAAGGGAAAAAGGTTTGAGCACATGAATAATTATTAGTCAATTCACACAGAAGTAGAATGTATGATCATCTAATGGATGCCTAATTTTGTCCAATTAAGCTGAAATAATCTTTATTTTCGTAAGGGGTTTCTTTAATATATAAAACATAAAAGAGAATGGCTTCATTCTAATTGACGGGCAACAAACAACGTATGTAACATTGCAAGTCTCACAAGTGGATGGCCAAGTATGAGTAAACAATTCCAAAAGCTCCAGCTGCACCAAACACTATAATTTGTGAAAAATGCTACAACTTCTCACAAGTTAGTATTTTGTTCATTTCATTGCAAATCTCAAAAGCACCGAATTGGTGCTTCTGCAAGACTTTCTCATTTGGGTTTTAATAAAATTAACACATTATTCCTATTTTATCCTTATTTTTCCTTTTATTTACAAAAACAGCACTTGTACAACAGTTTCTTTTCAACAGAACTTTTATTAAAAGCTCCAGCCACACCAAACGGGCACTTAGTTAAGTCAAATTTACACTCTCCGCTTTCATAGTTAACTAACACTGCAATTCGGCAGATGTTGTGAAGGTAATGTTAGAACTTAAAAGAATATATGGTAGAATGCCCCCACTCAGTTGTGGCAGATATGAACAGAACAGTAGTTGATTAAGTTATATTTTCTGGTGTTGAACACAATCAGAACTATAATTTCTCAGTACAACAAAGTCCTAATTCCCCTTTTCATCTACTCATAGCCTGCAATTTCCTTCTAAAATATCCGCAAATAATAAAAAAAAAATTTGTGAGACATTAAGAGAACTCACCATTCAGCCTTCTCAGGCTCCATGCTAACAACTTGAGCAAAACCAGCAAGAGCTGCTTCAGGATCTGTTTCTACCAAACCTTTTTGGAGAAAAAGAAAAACAAAAATTTTGCAATAAGATAAAATAAAAAATATAAAGCCAGTAGGAACGATTATGCCCCAAAAGTATATGCACTGGTGAAACCTAACAGGATACAGTGTACAATTGATGGAAATACAGTACAGATAATACCTTTGGAGTTATAATACTGATTCTCAATGTCAACATCCTGTTCCTCAGGCTCCTCATCCGAGTACTCGAATCCATAATCCTCCATATCCGCATCTGTGAAAACCAATTAACAAAGACCAAACGAAAATCGACATATTCCGGCTAAAAATTTGTTCATACGAAATTACAAAACACGGACAGACTGTACTGTTGTGCACCGGAAAACAAAATCGGAGTGTATCGGCGAGAGAGAGAGAGAGAGAGAAAGAGAGAAACCTGAGCCCATGCTTTCCCGAAGAAAAGGTTGAAACTTGAGAAGTGGAGCGTTCGAATTCAGGATTCGGAGAAAACTACTTGACGGAAAACGAAAACCCCTCGTCGGCGCAAATCTCGATAGGGCAAATACAATGAAGCGGAAGGGGAAGGACGATGATTGGTTGTATGGAAATTTTGTACTACTACAGTCGTTTTAGTAGAGTTCGCTCCTGCTTGCTTTCAGGCCTTTTTTTTTTTTTTTTTCTCAAATTTCTAATTAAGTCCTCAACGTTTGGAATAAGCCAAGTAACCCCAATGTCAATTTAAATTTACCATTTAACCCGTGTATGGGTTGATCTAGCGACTCTAACATGTGACTTATGTGTTATAAATGCATTTTTTATATTTTCACTCTCCCACGTGGTTCAAGTGGCCGCGTCTGTTTGAGAAGCAAGATAGAGCATATTACGTGATTATCAAGTCGACTTTTCGATCGGTTCTCGAATAGATATTAATTTATTAATTATATTTTTTATAATAAAAAAAATATTTTTTTATATTTAATTTATGGAACACTTTGTAAAAATTAATATTTATTTTAATAGTATTGGATGATTTTAATTAATTAATTAATTAAAATCAATGTTTATAGTTTTTATGCAAATTAATTGTAAAATGATACATTATTATATTCTTAACATTAGTTGTAAGGGCACATGTTAAAAAAAACAGTCATATATTAATCAATTACTTGTATATATGTATATGAAAGAAGTATTGTATAATCTAAATTATATCATATTATACAATATTAACCATTACATAAAAATTAAACCCCTTGATATTTGAAATTCTCTATCTATTTTTTTTTTTAACAGTATTATCATAGGGCGGATTAAAACCCACCCAAGGGAGAGGGAGGTGCACCTCAAGGTGGTCAAAGGCTACTTGGCCCTTTGGTCAAGTGCAAATTCTCTATCTATTTAATAATTTATGTTTTATAATCTAATATAATTCAAATAATGAAACACAATTTTCCATACGGATAGCCATATTCCACTCACAAATAAAAGTCCTCTTACGTTAATGGACAGTGTTAAAAACTCACACTAACAAGTCTTCTCACATAGAAAGAGTCAATTTATAAATCAAACAGGTTGAGAACTTGAGATAGGCGTCCTTAGTCCCGTGACAAGGACTAAAATCCCACAACCTTCCCACACGTGGTTTTGTCTAAATTTTTCTTGAATTATGTATTGTGCTTTTTAAATTATGTTAACTTATTGTAGAGGCAAATTGAGCAATCGAATTCCTTCCAACATTAAACAGCATTCCATAATTAGGGTTTTAAAACCACATATTAAAGTTACATTAATTGCAACTTCTTTTCATTAATTAATTATGGAAAAAATAAAAGCTGATTTTAATTTTATGGACTGATTAATCAAAATCAGGCACATGTCATTGTGTTTTCTTGTCTAAAGTAATGAATAAAAGTTGTAACTAAAATGGTTTAAACAAACTCATACAACAAAATTATAAAATCAAATAATCAAGGTATACATGGATATGTAACATTTAGCTTCACAACAGTGGTGTCAAAGTCTTATCTTGACATGGACTTGACTTGAGCAGGCAGGGAACAAGATTTTTGGGATTGAGAAAATGAAATTCAAAAACTCATCACAGTTAATTTACAGTTGCGGCTCTTGCCTTGTGATTGTGAGGAGAGCTCATATGTTTGGTCCCATGTTGAGACAGTTTTGCATGTGGGGATGTCCTCATTACGTTTGTTGTTGGAAGATTCTCTAGTGCCCTTAGAGCATCAGTCATAGATGGCCTATTCTTGGGATCTGTGTGTAGACATTGCAATGCAAGTTCGGCGGCAGCTTGGGCTCCTTTCTTGGAATACTGCCCTCCCAACCTTGTGTCCATAATTCTCAATACTCTCCTACTATCACTTAGAAATGGTTTTGCCCAGTCCACCAGTGTTTCTTCAGCAAATCCAGGTCCCTCTTCATCCAGAGCCCGTTTTCCTGATAGCAACTCTAACAACACAACACCAAAGCTGTACACATCGCTCTTTGGGGTCAAACGACCTGCAAAGTTTCAACAAGTTCTTTAGTATGGTGGGACAGCTAAACACTTGATATCTCATAATATGAACATTTACATCTTCCTAAAAACGGTCTTATTTTATCAAACAACATACAAGCATCTGGTGATGCATTGTTTTGGACTCTCATTTATCTTATTTTTCAGTTGTTAAGTACAACACTGCCCATGACTTGATATAAATCATTATGCATAGCATATCCAAAAAAAGAACACAAACCTGTTGCTACATATTCAGGGGCAGCATAACCCTGAGTTCCAACAACTTTGGTTGAAACATGAGTGTTGTCACCAGTAGGACCATCCCTTGCCAAGCCAAAATCTGAAAGCCTTGCATTGTAATCCTACATTAGTTTTATGGCAAGTGCATCAGACATTATGCTAAATGCTTATTAGTAGATAATAATAGAATTGCTCATGACTCATCCCCAAATTAATCAGAACATTAGAATTATATAGAAAGAATATATAACAAAATACCGAATCAAGCAGTATGTTGGACGCCTTCAGATCACGGTAGATTACATTGGTATCTAAACTATGTAAGAAGGTCAATCCCCGTGCTACACCAATCGCAATACTCATCCTTGTAGCCCATGAAATTGGTTGAACACATTCTGTGGAAAGGGGAAACAATACAATGATTCTAGGGTTATTACTTTACATTGTAAAATATATGACAACATGAAGTTCAAGACCATAGTTAAAAGATATACTTACTTCTAAATAGATGATTCTCTAAACTCCCCTTTTGCATGTACTCATAAACTAAAAGCCTGTTATCAGATTCTGCACAATAGCCAATGAGTTTCACAAGATTCTCATGACGGAGCTGACCCAAGTAGTTAACTTCAGCCTGCAAAGTTCATGTATCCGCATCAAATAATTAAGGCCTAAGATTAGAAAGTACTAAGCAGGAAGAAACTGAAAAAGGTCCACAGAAACGTACAAGCCATTCCTTGTGTCCTTGGAGGCTTTCCCCCTTGAGCTTCTTGATGGCTACCCCGATCCCAATTCCTGGTTTGGTTGGAGCTAAAGTGTTCTCATCTATCCACCCTTTGAAGACACACCCAAATCCTCCCTCTCCAAGCAGACTATCGGTGCGGAAATTCTTGGTGGCATTCTTAAGATCATTAAAATTAAAAGACTTGAGATTGCTGGAAACAGAGGCATCAGGCTTTGGTGGTACAAATGACGTGGTCAAACTTTCCGAAGGTAATTTCTGGCTGGAGGAAGCTGAATCCTTCTTTGGATCACTATGAGAATTTGCAACTGCTGCAGGACAAGTTAAAGAGACAACCGGAAAACTTTCAATAAAAGAAAATTTTAACAGGAACGTTAACAGCTGGTGCTATAACAGCTAAGATGTTTAGACAAAGTATGAATAGATCAGAAAACTGAAACCCATATACAGAAATTGAGAAACAAACCAGAGAAACCACCAATAGAGGAAGCATGAGCGCACTTTGCCGGTTTCCCGCAACAATTCCCCATCGTCGACAATCTCAGGGGTCAATTAATTCGCATAGATCGAAGAAGAAAAAGAGGTGGCTGGCGCAGAGTGTGACAATATTGATATACTGGCAATTGGGGATGGGAAAAAGTATAGAAATTAAACAAGAAACATGCCATTGATAAGGGGGGCGGTGGGGAAGGAAAGAGACGGGAAGCAAGCCAGGACCCGGAGATAGAGTCAGTCAACGGCATTAGGAGGCGTCTGTTGAATGGAAATTCACATATGTGTTGGAGAAATTTTATTATTATTATTATTATTAATAAAAAACCCCAAATTGGTTTCCTGTATAGACAATTGGTCTTGCTATTTTTTTTTTTATTTTGATTACATAACGAGAGATAATAATTTTATCTTACTTATATATTATATAATTTAAATTTAACATATTTTATTTTTAACAAAAAAATAAATACTGAGTTACCTAAATCGTTAATGGTTCTATTATTTATTAATTTAATCTTAAATTAGTTTTTAATTAAAAAATAATTGATATATTTATTATTTAACAAAAAAATAAATACTGAGTTACCTAAATCGTTAATGGTTCTATTATTTATTAATTTAATCTTAAATTAGTTTTTAATTAAAAAATAATT